AACTTTACCATCTTCCTCTACAAATTTGAAATAGTATTATTTTTGAGGAACCTAGAGATCCCACTGTTACCTCCCAGGTTAATTTGTATTTCCCATGCTCTTGCAAATCAGGGATTAAAATTAGCTTGCTTTGTTTCTGCAGTTTATAACTGATTTATGAAATGCTTGTTGTATAAATGGAAATTATATATGTTTTTCTATCTGGTATTGTGGTTTCAGAGAAGTTTACTTGCTGTTGGCATGATTTGCTGTGAACATAATCTCATCACTTGTTTCTTGCTAATTGCATAAATGTTTTCCTTTGTTTAAATAAAACTTATAGTAATTATTATTTAAGAACTATATAATAAGAATTTTATGATATATTATATATAACATGTTTTGTAAGAAAATTATAAATAATAAGAGTCGAAATCATTGAAAGTTTGTAATGATGTATTCAATTTAGAATTTCAATGACTTTTGTAGATTTTTTAAAATAAAAAAGTTGATAAAAGTTTATGAACGTTCTTTATATAGATTATTATAAAGTCTTGCAAAATTTTAAAATGTTTTGAACTACTTTATAAAAATCAATCAAAATGTATTAAAATCTATCAGTTTAAAAGTTTACAAAAGTCATGATTTAATATACTCTCTTAGTTTAATATATGATGATGTTTTCTCACCAAAAATAATAATAATAATAATAATAATAATAATAAAATGAGAAGGTTAATCCGTACGTTACGGCAACTTTATTCCCCAAATGTGCAACATAAGATGATCAGTACGAAAGTGTCGTCAAAAAGTGAAGTAAAAGAATAATTATATGGCTAGACATTTAAGTTCAAAAAAAAAAAAAAAATATGACTAGACATTTTAAATATTTATATCTTAGGCTGTTGAGTTCAACGCTATATTCATCTTTGTCGTGTAACATGACTTAATTATGCATGTTTGACGGGCGAAACTCTTACATTTAGAAAATAATCCTAATGAAAAAAAAAATTAAATATTACAAAGAGATAAATAAATAATTAAATACACATTAATAAACTAAAATTATTCAAGTCTATTTTGAATCTCTAGGGTTTGTGTTGGTTTTGGACAAGTTAAAAATGTAGAGGTGAATAGATTTTTAGAAAATTTAAAACTTTGTACACAAATACGCCCAAAGGAAGTTTTTGCGTTCCTTGTTTGAGTATAAAGTAACACAGAATGTGTTTGATTTAGCTTAACAATTACATGGCGTTTGGTTGGAGGGATTTTAAATTCTCTTTCCACTTAATTTCAAAGGTCATTAAATTCCGTAATTTGGTTGGAGGGAATTGCAATTCTCCCATTTTTATTGAATTAAAATCCCATGTCCCTCACTGGTATTTTAATTCCTGAGAAAAAAAGATAGTGATGAGTCAAAATTACCCCTTCCTTTTTTAACCTAAAATTAATGTCTAACAACAATAATGGACATTTTTGACTTTATACTACTTATTCCCTTTCAATTCCCATGTATACCAAACATTGGAATTGAAATTCTCAGTAATTCTATTCCAGTCAACCAAACACTGGAATTTAAATTCTCACTTTATTCTCAGTAATTCAACTCCCATGAAATTACAATTCCTTTCCCACTAGGGGTGTAAACGAGCCGAGCCGAGCTCGAGCCTGGGTAGGCTTGAGCTCGAGCTCGTTAATGGAGGCTCGGTTCGAGTTCGAGCTCGAGCTCGATCGAGCTAGAGAACTGATGCTCGAGCTCGAGCTCGATCATTTTCGGGCTGCTCGAGTAGCTCGATTGTTCGAACTCGATCTTGAGCTCGAGTTCGAGCTCGATATTGATATTGAATTTGACCTATTTAATACTTTTGATCTAAAATTCAAACTACTTTGTTTTATCCATACATAAATAATAGAAATCTTTTAGAGATTTTGAGTTTAAAATTTTAATTTCTAATTGTTATTTTTATATATTATTATATTATATTATATTATATTATGTACAGTGGCGGAGCCACAATGGGGGCAGTGGGGGCCACTGCCCCCCCTCAAACCTTCGTTCTAATATATAAGTATATGTATAAATCACAAAAGTGCTAAATAGATCAATGGATTGAATCTTGAATATGATATGGAGGGTTTTAGGTTCGAAACCTGCCAATAGCATTTTTATATGTTTTAGGCTTTTAGCTTCTTATCTTTATTCTAACTCTTCAATAAATTAAATGTATTCTTTTTAATCTACTTTTTTTGCATGTATATTTTAGCTTCTTTTCTTTATTTTAGTCTTACCATTCAATAAATTAAATATTTTTTAAGTCTACTTTTTTTGAATCATTTACTTAATGTAGTCAACAAGTTTATATTATACTTCATCGTATTCAAATTAATTCAAACAGAATTGTGAAAGATGCAATTTTTTCTTAGAAGTGAGATCTGGAGTTAAATACGCCCCCACTCACATTATTTTTTGGCTCCGCCACTGATTATGTATTATGTATATTATATATTATATGACTCGCGAGCGGCTCGACGAGCCACGAGCCTAGAATATCTAGGCTCGGCTCGAGCTCGATTACTAAACGAGTCGCTCGAGCTCGGCTCGAGCTTGATTTTGACCGAGCCGCTCGCGAGCTGCTCGACTCATTTACACCCCTATTTCTCACATAATTCCCCCCTCCAACCAAATGCCCTGTTATGGCCTGTTTGGTTCACGAAATAGGCCGGGAATGGCATAGCATTCCAGTAATAGGCCTATTCCTTTGTTTGGTAACCATTTCTATTACCAGGAATAATATTCCTGGTAATAGCTATTACTAGGGCCCCCCCTGGTATTAGCATATTACTGAACGCTCAGGAATAGATTTTAAAATCTATTTTCTTTTTTATCCCTTTCTTTAACCTAATTTTTTTTATCCTATATATAAATTTATCCTATTTCACCACCGTCACCGCCGCCGTCGCCACCACCACCACTACCACCACCATTGCCGCCATCACCACCACCACCACCATCACCACAACCGTCGCCGCCCCCACCGCCACCGTCGCCCCCACCACTGCCACCACCACCACCTCCACCACTACCACCCCAGCACCACCACCACCATCACCAGCATCGCCGCCGCCGCCACCGCCACCAGAACCACCACCCAGCAGCACCACCGCCACCACCACCACTACCACCCCAGCACCACCACCACCACCACCACCATCCCATATTTTTATAAGGGTATTTATGTCTTTTAAAATATATTTTATTTCTATTCCTTAAATCAACCAAACACTGTAATATAATTCTTAAAGTCTATTCCTTCCGCGAACCAAACAATAGAATACAATTCCTATTCCATTCCTTGCCTATTCCATTCCTTATGGAATAGCATTCCTATTACCTCAAAATTCATTCCGTGAACCAAACGTGCTGTTAACAGCGTTTCAAAGATTTGTTTGGAATGCATTGCACCAATATAGAGGTTTATTTTATGGAATAATCTTTAAAAAAAACTGCCAATCAAACTCCATTTTCGCAAAGGATAGAGGTGAGGAAGAAGAAATGGAAAGGAGAGAAAGATGTTTGATCTTAGATGTGTAATTTTCTGAGCAATGTACAACCCATTAAAGAATTGAAATTGAATAGTCAACTCATCAGTCATCACAGGTCAAAGTACATATAAAGTTCTTATACTTACAGTGTTTTGTTCAATTTAATCCTTGTAGCTTTATCATGTTCAATTTAGTCCCTCTATTTTAAAAAGTGGCGAAACTAAGGACAATTGTTCAAATCTCATTAGGAACATAGTTGTAATTATTTATTTTGGATATACTCATTTAATATATTGGTGATAAAAGTAATTAATTTTAAATATTTATAAAGTAATATATGAGTAGGAATATAAATATCGTTAGCGCCACGTAACCTAAGTTGACGGTAATATTAACACAGTTAACTATTGTTCTTAATTGCACTACTTTTTTAAAGTACAGGGACTAAATTGAACAAAATAAAAGTATAAGGACTAAATTGAACAAAACGCTATAGTATAGAGACCTCACAGTTACTTTGACCGTCAAAACATGCTTATGTTAGGGGCAAAATAGGAAAACATGCATTCTTTTTATTCACTTACTAAAAATATGTGCAAATGCTAAAGGCATCCCCAATAAGAATTTTTAAGTAGATTTTGGAACAGTAAAAACCTTGATGCTTAGTTTTTGAAAAATGTGGATGTTGATCTTTTAGAGGTTTTTATTACTACAAATATGGATTTTTATTGAGATCCACTTGCAGAGCTAAAAAGTGAAAATGCTGTTGTAGGTGCGCGTGGCGTACCTGTTACGCCCAGCTGGTACGTGTGCGTACGGAAAGGTGGTTTTTTAGTTTTTTTTTTTTTTTTTAATTATTTATTTCATGTCAGACTTTTTAATTTTGTTTTTTATTTTTTATTTTTATTTTTTTCTCCCTTCCCACTTTCTATTTTCTAATTACACAGGTAAACCCTTCAAAAACCTTATACTATTGAGAATGCTCTAAGTATCACAGATAATTCGGAACTGAAGAAGTACATAGCTATTAATCACTCCATAGTTGATTTCTAAAGTATTATTTTTGTCACATCTAGTCTTTATGACCAAATCTTCAATGAAAAATCACTTTTAATTATGGTTTAGAGCCACAACAGCTAAAATACATTGCGGTTTTTGGAGAAAATGTATAGTTTTGAACTATAAATGTGGTGCATATATTTTGGCTTTTATATATATATATATATATATATATATATATATATATATATAATTTGACTAGAATAGGTTTAAACCCTAAACCTAAGGTTCTTCCCCTTGTCCAGAAAATTGTGAGAGGAAGTAAATCGTGAGATACTGATATGTCTCCAAAATGACGCAAGGTCTGAATACTTGCTTTTTGCCCCAACCTTTCGACCACTAAGCTATGTCTGGGGTCACTACACCCACACTCAACCTTTCGACCACGCTATGTTTGGGCAAGATTTGACTAGAATGACTACAATGAAAGTTGTATACACAATATATTAAAAATTTAATACTTGATTAAATGTAAAAGTTGAGCTCAACCTAGAGGGCCTCTTTGCCTTGCTGGAGCTTCTCCTAATGGTCCTCAACCTACATGCAATTACCATTTCTAGGCAACAATGGAAACTGTAAAAATGACCAAATTACTCTGATCCAAAGCTGTTGAACAAAAATGTAGATAAATTTACCCTAATTTACCACATCCAACCTCACGAAAATAGTGAATCGATCTCCTCCATTCCCATGGCTTCCTCTTTGACTATAGTGCTCATCCCTCCGGGATGATGACATTGCGTTATCTCTCCCGATATTGTAACGAAAGCATCTGGAGATCAATGGCTCGTGGCTAATGCAGTAACTAAAAGACCAAGTACAAGAAACGGTTGTGCACTAGCCTGCAACAAAACAAGGGTAAACTCCGAGTTTCAAACATATATATAGCTGCATTGCAAGCAGATTTTTCGTTCTTCTTTTACTTATTCAAATATCAAAGTATGAAATAAACCCGCCTATTTGATCTCCCAACAATTTCAATGATTGTGTGTTTTCTGGCGGGGAAAAAGAAAACCGTACCTGATACTTCACATCATATTTGACGGGGTCTTTTAGGAAGTATTTGAACTGCAACAACAAATCGAGATGAGTCGTTCCCATGATTTGATGCAACGTAACATAAACAATGTTATTAGCCGACCATTTCCAGATTAACTTAAAGGCCTGTTTTTCCTTTTCCTCCTATTGTTACTATTATTTTCCCGAATGATCTGTAGTTATGGAGGAGCTGAGTATAAATAGTGAGAAAGGTTATTTGTTAAGAACATTGTTTACCTGGAAAAAGATCTGTGGTGCTGTTAGACCTAGGAGGGCTAATGCGTAATATGGTTTCCCAACACTAAAAAGATAGCCTGCAAACAACATAAAAGCGCGATGAAAACTCTCAAGATGCCAAGAGATCGATCAGTCTACCTTTAAGAGAAAATTTGAGCAACAAATGAGTGCCTGAAGAAGCAAGTCTTTTTGCCAACAAAGGCGAAATTCCTCACCCCAAGGGCCCCCATAACCTGGCCCGACAAAATAGTGGAGGGGAAATTACGGTGACTCAGCAGCTCATTAGGTGGGACCCCATAGGCCATAACCTGGCCCGACAAAACAGTGGAGGGGTAAATCACGGTGACTTAGCAGCTCATTAGGTGGGACCACCACATTGGGTGAAACTCCCACACCGCGGCTATCAAAACTCGATCATGTGTCCTAGCCCACAATCTAACACCAAAAACCAATTGGTGCCCATGAGCCGTTTTTTTTTTTTTTTTTTTTTTTTTTTTTGTTCAAAAGCAACGGGATATAGAAAACGGAAAAAGGTTTTCTCTTATGATAGGTTAGATCAAGTCATGGACGGAAATTACTTAATTACCTGCCACTGATAATTGAGTTAAGTCGATAGCACCAACACAAATCCATTTGGCAGTTTCTGAGCCAAAAGCTACGGGAAGTGACTGAAAATATACCAAGACATGAAGGTTAAAAGAGTCAGATAAATGCCTGTACACAATTATAACTAGCAAATATAATGTATCTAAAAATAATACTGTAGAAAGGACCTGAAGTCCCATGGCCCTATCTCCTTCAATGCTCTTGAAGTCATTTACAATAGCAATACCCAACTGAAACGAAGTACTAAACCGATTAGTCTGCGTTTTTCAAATTTTGGTGTTTACGATATGAGCAAAAACGCATTCCATTTTACCCCAGCAATGCTATACAAGAGTGTTAGAACAATAACATCGGGTGTGAGGGTCCCAAACAAAGCTTGACCAGCCCACCTATATTACAAAACTGAAGAGAGTTATGTGATGTAGTGACTAAAATGCAAAGAACTTACAAGCAAAGTGCAACTAGAGTTGTCAATACGGGCTGGCGGGACGGGGCGGGCCAAAGCTTGCCAACCCGTGGGCCTAGGCAGGGCGGGCCAAAAAAGCCCACTCTTTGGCGGGCCTAGGTTTTGCAAGCCCAGACTGCCCTGCCCTAGGCCCGTGGACCCCGCCACACCACCCCCTCTCCACTGTGCAACCCAGAAGAAAGTAACGATTTCTGCTAAAGATATGCTCACGGTGCAGGCTATACCGAGGAAAAATATATTTAATTCATGGTTGGTAAATCTTTATAATGCAAATATTAAGTGCCCGTTGCATTATAATGCACATGCACCAAACCACACTAAAAGACTGAATCTAGTAAATTAGCTCATCTAACCCATAGCCTTATAAACTCATATATTCTCTCTTATATTTTCCATGTGGGACTCTTAACACGAATTATCTTTGAGAGTTTTGTAATTAAAAAGCATTTCACATCACTCAATCCTTTAGATGCTAATGCCTCCTCACCCCGACGGAAGAAAACACGTATTCTAGAATAGAGGACATCATACCAAGGCAAACTGATGTAGCTCGACCCTAAAGCAAAGTTGCCAATCCATCCATTTTGTTTGAGCTGCAACACAATATTTGAAACCCCGGGCTCTAAGCTTCAACAATCTTTCTCTTTAGCAGTTGATGAGAGAATTTCAGAGGGTTCTAAGGATGAGAAAATTACCTTCAATGGTGGAGCTGAGTATATATACGACAGCAATGATCCACCAAGAGCTAGGTAAAATATAACAGGAGTATCATGCCCTGCCTACAAGGAGCAACTTCTCAGAGTGTTTTAGATGATTTTCAGGAGATTAAGTAGCTTTGAAACCTACCCACACGTCTAATAAACCACCCAACGCTAGGCCTCCTAAAAGCAGCACCCATATTTGTGTGATAACCTGAAGATAAAGAACTCTCAATCCCGTATACACATCATTTAGGAAAATAATAATAATAACAATAACAACAAAAATAAATAAGTAATAAAAGGTACCTCATTCTCAGATATAGCTCCAGAGGGAATTGGACGGTAAGGTTCATTAATAGCATCAATTTCTCGATCATACCAGTCATTAATTGTCTGATCATTAAAAACAGGATTCCCATTAATATAGTTACAAAGCAAAGTTTTGTATGAAAAAATCACCATTGCAACAGCATAGGGCTCATGTACCTGAGTGTAGCCCGTAAGGAAAGGACCAGACATTAGCATACAAACAATTGATTTAGCCACATCTTCGGGAGTCCAGTGGAAGTTCCCTACCAGCAAATTTCCATAATCAAGAAGAGTGATGCAGAATGGATAAGAACCGGAAACCTTGAGCTTCACAAGCTTAAGTAAGTAATAAATGAACTTCTCCACCTTATATAATCCATTTTCAAAAGAGTATATATGCAAAAGGAGTACCTGAAGCAGCAGCTCCACAGACCACACCCCAGACAAGGGGAGGCCAAGTAACAGGCTTTGTTAGCTGAACACGAATCTTCCATTTGTCCTGTAAAGGGGCCAATTATGAAAAGTGTTGGGCAGAGGCTTTAAGGGCCAAGTCCAGCACCAGGTGGCTAAGGTATTGTTGGGCGGAGGCCTAAAGGGGCCAAGTCTAATACCCTGCCTTTTGAAATGTGGCACTGACCGCTAAGCAGGTATAAGAAAATAAAGTCGCACCACTGCTAGTTATAGCTTTTGGCCTAGTGATAAGTGTTTGTTAGGATCAAGCGCTTACCACTCACGCCAAAAGCTTACCACTCACGCCAGTTTTTGGCGTGAGTGGTAAGCGCTTAATCCTAACAAGTGGTAGCAGAGGCCGCGGGTTCGATTCCAATTGGTTGGTGTTGGGAGGAGAATTGTTGGGCAGGGCTGGTAAAGGGGCCATTTCTAGTACCCAGTGGTTGGGAATTGTTGGGCAGAGGCCGGTAAAACCCGTAAGGGCTAAGTCCAGCCCCCAACCTGTCTTGAACAATGTGATTGCCGTCTATAAGTAAGGAAAGGAAATAAGTTGTGTCTTCGCTACTAGCTATAACTTGCTTTTGGCGTGAGTGGTAAGCGCTTAATCCTAACATTGTTTAATCTAAAAAGTAGTATCAAAGCACAAATCACAACTATGGTGTTCATGTGCACAATGAAATTGGTAATACTATTACACTGAAATCCCCCCACGAAACTCATTAATGAAGTACTCCATAACTAATTAGAAAGAAAATGGACAGCAAACCGTTTCTTGCTTGGCTCCTTTGATACCAAGAATTTGATTAATGCTGGAACCAGAAGCCGGCGGCGCCTTATCCGGTACCGTAGCTTTAACTGCCGCACAATTGCACCCAAATAAACGCCATTTTCGAAGAATAAGACAAAAATAGAAAGAAGAATACATATCCAAAACCCAATTATTCATGTTCAAGAAACTCAAATCCAAAGCTCAAGCTTGCTTTACCTTCACTGTCAGTCTCGGCGGCCCTCACCACAAACCTGCTCCCTTAACAATAAAAATACATTCTTTATCAGAACAAATTGGAATGAAATTGAAGTTTGAAGAAATGGGAGAGTCGAAGCCACATACTTGAGGGAGTCAGAGAGATAGGATATGAGAGGTGCGGAGCTCGAAGGGGATTACATTTAAAACTTGATAATCTTATGGAGGGCACAGTGTTGAGCAGAGAAGCCATTGAAGGTAAGGTTATCGAGCTTAGCTAAAAAGCTTTGTAGTTTTGGCTCAGTCTTGAGGAGTGGAGTTGGGGATATGAATATCTCAGTGTCCTTTTCTACTTCATTTACTCCATACAGTTGGAACAATTGAATTCAATATTTTAAAGATTGAGTTGTAATAATCTCGTTCACAGCGTCAACTGTGATCATTAGTATTAGTAGATGTTAATTCGGTTTTTTTTTTTTTTTTTTTTTTTGAAAACAAAAACAATGATATATTAAGCAAGCAATTCAGAAATACAAGATGTGGTTTGGGAGAAGAAATACAAGATGTGGAGAAGAAACCCACTAGTACACACTCAGAACCAGTTGTACTTGCAAGAACATGAGTTACATAATTCGCTAACCTATGAATATGGCGAATAGTAACTGATTTCATAAAACTGTGTAATCGTTAATTGAATTTAATTTTTAAAAAATTATTAATTGAATTAAAAATTTTATTTTTTTATTAATCGGTCAATTTATTTGTGAGGCAATAAATTATAATTTTTCTTAATTTTTAATAAATTAATTTTTTTGTTTAATAGTACCTTGTAATTTCTAAATATATAAATTTTATATATTAATACTAAACTTAATATTATGAAAAATTAAATTAAAAATGATTTTAACAATCCTCGTTAATCAAATTAGACAAACAAAATGGGACGGATGGAGTAATAAAGTGGAGTCGATGAAAAAAAAAATGCGTAAGAGGAAAGCTCCAAAATCTATCAAGAAGATGAGTTTGCATCAAAGATGGAGTGGTGGCTGGTTAAAATAAATAAATAAAAGAATAAGAGAACAAAAAATTATGACAAATTTGTAATATTGGCGGATCCGTCATTTTTGGCGGTTTGACCATGTCAAACCGCCAAAAAAAACCGTTTGGTTAGACGCGGTTTGGAGCAGCGGTTTGCTCCAAACCGCTGCTTTTGCAAACGCTGCAAAATGCAGCGTTTGCAGTTGGCGTTTTGGGGAAAATTAAATTTTCCCCAAAACGCCCCTGTTTATATTTAATTTAAAAAAAAAACATAAAACTAATTGAGGAGCCGAAATGGCTCCTCAATTTGGGGAGCCAAAACGACTCCTCAACGTTGCCCATCCCAGATGGGCAACGAATTTGTGGAGCCTTGAGGCAAGGCTCCATTCCCATTTTTTTCACCGATGTGGGACGGTGGGAAAAGTGGGAATACAAGAGGGGAACAGCTTGCGCTGTTTCCTTCTTTTTTTTTTCTTTGTTTTTTAAAAATTATTATTATTATTATTATTATAAATTATAAATTATAATGTATACCCTTATGGTCATTTTATATGTTAACTGCTAATCTAAACCGCTAATTTTACAAAACACTTTTTTATAAACCGCTAATATAATCTGCTGGTCAAACCCGCTAATACAATCCGCTATCTGATAACCGCTAACACAACCCGCTACCGCTAATCGCTAATCGCTAACCGCTGATAACCAAACAAGCCCTAAGCCTTAGCATTTGAGATGATGGCTAAATATATGGGTGCCATTTTTCAAGGAAAATGGCAACTCCCAAATATAAGTATAGGAAAAATTTGGATCCGAACGCATTCAAGTAAAAAAATTTTTAGAGCAACACACCCAAGTAGATAAATCTCCTTCTCTCTAAATCAAAGCAAACAAAAATTGTAGGGAAGCACTTTTTTCTCAATCTCCTCTCCATTGAATAGGTTTACTTCTCTTACTTTCTGATTTTTTTTTTTTTTGGTTAATTATGGTTCAAGATCTTGACTTTATGATTTAATTGTATTCTTCTTTGTGACTTGTGCTCTGGGTGTTCCTGTCTTTTTTTTTTTTTTTTTTGAGTAAAAATTAAGTCTTTTTATGTGTGCTGAAAGTTTATGTTTTTTATTCGAATGGAGTGAATTGGATTTGGTGTTGTGAGATATGGGTAAATGGCTATTTGGGTTTCACTAGAATTTATCTTATTACTGGTATTGCAATTAGGGCTCTTATTCACTTGGTCCCCCCTCATCTTATCCAAAATCATTGCTGGAAATTTGTCTAGTGGAAATGGATTTGGAATTCATTTCCCTACCGTCAATGGGTGAAAGTTCTTATCTTCAAATAAATGATTGGCCTCTATAGGCACCGATTCTCCCACATAATGCGCAGTAAGGTACTATGATTTACCTCTTCACTATCTCGTTGGACCGGGCAACCGGGGTGGGAGGCTTGAGCCGAGGGAATTTTGCCTAATTGGGGAAACAAACAAGTGATCAACATTTAAGTTCTCTTTAGTGCGTGAATTTAATGAAGTGTTAGGCAAGTGTAGATTAGGGTTGAAGCATGGCATTCTACATTATGCATCTACCATGCATATGATGAGACATGACTAAGTTTTCAATTGGTGAGATCTAGATGCTGCTTTACTACTATGCTTTTCCCGAGTTTTTGCGTGTTATATGTTTGTAATGTATACAATGTTAGATTGTTGATATACATAGTTGCTATATATATATATATATATATATATATATATATATATATATAAACTTAATTTAAAATTTATTTTTTTTATTAATCGGTCAATTTATTTGTGAAGGACATAAATTACTATAATTTTACTTAATTTTTAATTATTTTAAACTTGTTGCAACCTATTAGCTCAAACATGATTGATCAAAGGAACAAGGCCAAGAGGATATTCTTATTCATACATCTCTGTATCTTCCATACAACCATAACACATCTATATATAATATACAAATGTAACGGAAGACATAATGCAGCCATTAATCACTTAACGGTTACATAATCAATACTAATAATGGCCACACTAAATACATATTTATAACACTCCCCCTTGGACATTATTTGGCCACGATCTTGCCTCATTAAAAACTTGCTAGGAAAACCCTGTGGAAAAACCTAGACAATAAGAGATCAGAGTACAATAGAAAATATATTCATGCCTCATTAAAAACTTCACTAGGAAAACCACGTGGAAAAAAAACCTAGTTGAAGAAAAGAGTACATGATATATGTAAAAACATATATTGTATTGGTCGCCTCATTAAAAACCTTAACTTAAGAAAACCCTGTGGGAAAAACTTAGTTAAGGGAAAAAGAGTACAACCATTAGCCTTCAAGGCATAATCGGCATAATCTTCAGGATTTTGGGGTTTGTCTACTGAAGCAATTATTTTTGCTACATTCCACCATTTACATTATTGTATCATACTCATGCCTCGTTAAAAACCACACCAAAAAAACCCAATTGGAGAAAACTAGTGAGGAAAAGAGTACATGATGTGTTGCAAATAGTGCACAACTGATAGTCTTTTATGACTTAATCCTCAGGATTATACGTCCAATCTTCCGGATTGATTCGAGTAAATCTACTTCCCGTCTCCCCCTGAAGATAACAATCTTCAAGTTCTACATATATTTCATTGATGTTTACACCATAAAAATTGACTGAGATAATAAATATGTCCATTATCAACTCTTTATTGAGCACATAATGGTACATATTATTCCTTCTATGTGAGGATAATAACCTCATTCGCAACTCTTTAAAAAGTAAATAATGGCACATAATGATACTAAAATAAATCCTCATTTCGGAAATTATAAATCCATTAGGGATTTTTCAAGATAAACTAGAGGATATATTTAAGATATTTTCAAGAGGAAACGATATTTAAGTTTCGTAATCACATATAACATTACTAGGCATGTTTATGATAATATATTTTCATACTTTATTTTGGGGGAGAAAATACCTTTAGTCAATTTATTGATTTATTGACTATAAGAAAGATCATAGTTAGTAACTTACTAACTTTTATACTTCTTATTTTGTAATTTTCATTCATCACATTTTGAGAAAATCCATCAAGGATTTTAAATATAAGTAACAAGTTATCCATATAAATATAAATATGTGATAACTATAACTATTAGCTACATATCTAATTTATTAACTGCTAGTTTTATCGAATAGCGGAATATAAAGCCATGACAAATATTGGGTCTCTGCGAAAACCCTCAACTCGCCTTTTGTTAGCGAGTTTTGATTTGTATGCCTTAATTGCTATTTTCTATCAAAACAGTTAGCACGCTTCGGGCGTTATACTACTGCTTCAATTTCTGGATCCAGATTATAAGTATTTATGAGCAATAGAGGCAAAATATGTTGTCGACAACTGTAACAGCTTTGTAAGTATCTTTTATACACATGGCAATTTTGTATCAACCAAATATATGGCATTTCCCAAGAAGCTCACATCGTGGAATTTTCTATTCTGGAAGACACAAATTATCCCGTTCTTGCGGGGGCAGGACTTGGAAGGCTTCATCGACGGTAGCCACCCGTGTCCGCCAGCGACTCTTACCACAACTGACGGTGACTCCGGCTCCGATGCAACAACGGCGACTCTGGTTCCGAACTCGGCGTACAAACTGTGGGTTCGCCAAGATCAATCCATTCTTTCATTATTGATCTCGGCGATGTCAGATGAAGTCCTACACCTTGCGGTTGGCCAGGCTACCGCCGCCGAGGTGTGGCATTCGGTGTGCACGGCATTGGGCTCCACGACTCAGGCAAGGTGCCTGAATCTGCTTCGACAATTCCAGGCTCTCCGGCAGCGCAATGCTACGCCAACTGAGTACCTCGGCCGGGCAGAACTCCTTGTTGAAGCCCTAGCACAAGCCGGCCAGCCGCTCACCATGTCAGAGCAAAACCTGTATGTTCTGCGTGGATTGCGATCGGAATACCGGTCATATGCCGCTGCCCTCACCGCTAACGCTCCGGTCTCTCTCCCCCAGTTGGCCGATTATCTGCAAGCCGCAGACTTTATTCTTGCGGATGAGTTCGTCGCTGGAGGTGGCAACGACGGTTCGCATGCGGCGTTCTACGCAGGCCGTGGTCAGCAGGGTGGTCGCGGCAATGGTGGGCAGCAGGGTGGTGACGGAGGCGGACGGAATCACCATGGTGGCCGAGGCGGACGCAACCAGCGTGGTGGCCGGGGTGGACGCGGCGTGCCGAGGTGTCAGATTTGCAGATCGCAGGGGCATACCGCGGTCTACTGTTACAAAAGATACACAGCACAACCACCTGCACAAGCCCAC